GGTCACGCAGCAATCCCTTCTCCTCCATTCTCCTCTCAGGATCTTGGGCACTCACGCACACGCGCCCGGCGTGAGTTTTAAGCCACCGGGTCTGGGACGCGAACCGCGGTCCACTATGTGGGAGTCCAGCGACATAGCCATTACGCTAACTGCTGGTTCCCTATATAGCAAGTTTTAAAAAATAAAAATTAAAAGGCAATGGGTTCTGGCCCAGTTGCTCTACTAGAACGCTGGGAAGAGGAAAGGGGGCTGGAGTACCCAGGGAGGGCTGGGGCAGTCTGGGTCCTCGGTTTCCCTGTAGGTGGTGGCACCTGGGTGGTGGGAGGGAGCTGAGGACATGAGTAGAGCCGCAGCGGGCCCGGATACAGAGGCGGCGATCAGGGCCATTCCCCAGGGCCTGGTCAGCTCTACCTGGGGAGGGCTCGAGTCCCCTGAAGTGGGAGGGGCCGCGGTCGCGGATGGGATGGCATGGGGTTGAAGGACTCACGCGGCTTCTCCACGCACTGGTTCTCCACCGGCTCGCAGGGGCGCAGTCCCGGACCGCACCGCGAGGGGGCGCCGCGCGAGCGGCAGGCTCCAGGCGGGCCCTGCAGGGAGAAGGGTGCAGCTGGGGTGGGCTCGCTCTGGTTTCGCGATGTGGTCGGACGCGCCTGCTCACTCTCTCCCCGCGCCTGTCTCAGCGAAACCGAAACACCCTTAGCGAGCTCTGGAGGGGGGGGCTTGTGACCGCGAGGAGAACGCAGTTACCCTCGTTAGAAAAGCCGTAAAGCCCCTAGTGTACCCCAGCCAGCAGCCTGTGACCATCACGACAGTAACGGTCCTCTGATGGAAATCATAATGCCGCATGTTTCGCCCAGAATCCTTGCATATTCAAGTAGAGATGACACCTGGTTTGCTACCTTGCTGTGACAAAAGAATAACATCTCCCGAAGTGAGGTTGTAACACCCCCAAATCCAAATCGTGCCCCAGGATCTTCCTGTATTGAAATGGTGACAGGACTCAATTGCTAGACCATAAATTGCCCATACTGCCTGAGACCTTGGGATACTGGGAAAGCGACACTTATCCCGCAGCAAAGGTGTCACACCTCAGCATCGGCCATGGGAGCTCTCTATGGCGAAACAACCTCACACAACTAGTTTCCCAAATGAAGGATAAGATCACCCACATCTCTCCCGCAAAAACCTTTGCTCGTTATTCCCCCTGGTGACGCTGCGAAGTTCCACAGGACTCCCCAGGACCTCTATATGGACAAGGTGACACAGGAGAACCCGAGGTAACTCACACTGCATCTTGGGCTGTGAGAAGCCGTCTCCTGTGCTGGCTGCTCCGTTCGGGGATAGGAAGAAAACCTCCCCACCAGCTGGCCTGCTTCCAGGTCCGTGGGCTCCCACATCCCCCACCAGGGCATGACTAGGTTTCAGATCCCAGGAGTGCCAAAACCCAGTGCCATGCTCCAGGAGCAGTGATGACATAAAGCCCATGTCCCCATCCTGGACTGTGTGTTGGGCCCCAGCTCCCTGGAGTCCCCCACCCCACCCCACATCCCAACACTGAAGATGCTCACCTCCAACCTGCTCTCCTAACTCCTCTCTCCAGGTTTCAATGATGAGAGAGAAGGCCCCCTGGTTGGACAGAGGAAGGGGGAGAGGACAGAACAGAAGATGGTGGTCAGGGTAGGTATTCCATGAAGAAAGGCACAGTTCAGGGGTGAAGTGTGATGGCCGGTTCTGGGGATTGAGCAAGCAAGGAAGCAAGGGACACTGCCGAGAGGGCACAGCCCAGGGACAGAGTGACATCCGTGGCTTTACTGAGCACTTACTACGTGGTAGGCACTTGACTCAAAGATAACCTGGTTGAATCACTTAAAAGGGGCTCTTTCAGTCCCATTTTACCACCGAAGAAATTGAGGCTGGAAAAGGGAGAGTCCTTTCACCCCAAAGGTCCAGGGTGTAGAAGGCAAATACAAGTCTGTTCCTCTCAGTGCTTTTGGCTTTCTGAGAATGGGAGATAGGTCTTAAAGGACGCAGGCACTTATTGGAGGAACTGAGGATTGAAAAGGTGAGAGGTGATTAGGGGTTCCAAAAACAAGATGAGAGAGGAGCCTTAGGAGCAAGGAGATTCGGGGATAAAGATGAGGATCCCAGATTTAAGGATCCCCAAGGAGCAAAGTTAGACTTCAGTGAATTTAGGCTCTCCAGAGAGAGTTTGGGTTTCTGGGAATTTGGGGTCCCCAGTGTACAGGGCTGGGGCCAGAACACAGGATCCCCAGAAGGCAAGTTAGAGTCAGAACACTTGGGGTCCCAGTAGGTAGGGCTTAGGAGTCTGGGAATGTGGGGTTCCAGAGGGTGGAGACATTAGTTTGGAAGTGTGTAGTGTCCCAGAAGACAGGGTTAGGGTCTTGGGGGCTGGAAGGCAGGGTGGGGTGGTGTCGAGGTTTGGGTGGCAGCTGAGGACCCGAGCACCCGGCGAGTCCTAGGGAGTGCCCCAGGACAGCGTCTCACCGGCCAAGTGTCCCGGAAGGGCACGCGCATGAGGCTGCCCGGCAGCTGCAGGTCCGGCGCTGACAATCCGGGAGACTGCTCAGTGTAGACTGGTCCGCGCGCACTCAGCGCCGCGCCCAGGGCGCAGAGGGACTCGGTGGCCTCCTCTGAGACTCCAGGCTTCAAGCAGATCCTAAAGAAGAGGCGACAGGGGCCCCGGGCGCTGCAGGGGGACCGCGGTGCCCCCGGACCTG